GTCAGCTTTCCTGCTCCTCTGATGCTGCCTGGCCTGCTGTGTTCCTCCAGCTCCACGTTGTGTTATCTCAGACTCCAGCATCGGCAGTTCTTACTATCTCTCATAACGCTATATTATCTGTAATGATTTTACAAAGGCATTATTTACATGTAAACAGAGTGGTGTGCCATTAGATACTAATAAGTGTCTCATAGCTATCATTCATTCTTGAAACTTCCCCAATTACAAGAGAGGTCAAAGCAGAGAAACAAAATTTGAAAGTTGTTAATCTTTAAGTAATTTCCCTTGAGAACACTGATTGTTCAGAATATTCACATTTCAGTAGTTTTCAGTGGTGCTGCAATCATTTCACTGCCCTATTTTCAAATTTAGAGCAACACATGATATCCGAGCAGTAATTCTACTATGGGTTATTAGCAATCTTATTTTCCAAATTATACATCGGTATATTCCTATTTCAGGCCACAACAGCAGGCCTTTGTTTTATCAGCAGAAAGAAGAACTCTAACTAAATGGAATTAATTTTTAATACTGAGTTTCAGTCATCCAGTTTCAAAGATAGTGAGTGTAGTGAAAACTGATGGCACCTGAGGTACATTTGTGACATAGCTAAATAACATAAGATGGAACAATTGAGCAAATTAGTATTGTACTTTAGGATTTTAAATCAAAGTAGTCATCTGCTGCTGTCACATGGAATCCTGGACATTATCAGGAAGCATAATTCTTCATTGACCCAAATACAGTTAATGTAATAGAAAGATGTCACCCCAGATTAGTTCAGTGATATCAAATTCCACTGCACTGAAGTTCTTTCAGCAAAACAATTGTTCTGAGGAAGTCATTGAACTTCAAAAGTTAACTCTGCTTCTCACTCCACAAATACATAAAGTAAAATCTGAGTATAATAGTCTGTCCTAGCTCCTGGGTTCCACTGTCTTCTGGTCCAACATACGTTGGCTGGTAATTTATGCAATGGTCACTGTGTTCATCGTGATCAGAAAAGGCTGCCCTCTGCTGTCAAGGTTCTCTTCTGCCCTCGCGTGTAACATTTAATTTTGAGCCAGGCAATGCTGTGCTAATGGTAAAATACCAACAACACTTTAGATTAATCCCTTAACTGTCTGTTACCTTCCCGATCACTGTGCAATGCATAAATGCTAGTAAACATTATTCTTCACCTGTAAGCTCAAGTGCAGTTTTTAAAAATTGTTATAAACATACAAGGCCAATAAAATCGCTCCTCAATGCAATTCAGCATATTAAATTTTGACAACGCGCTGTCCCTGGGTTCTGACCTCAGCTGAGCTGCCTTTTTGGTGTACGCAGTCTTGAATTCTCACTCACTCCGTAAGTCTCCCATTGCCGCGTCTATGTTGTGCTCTGCAGCCAGTCCTCCAACTGCTCCTCCCTCCCGAGCATGGTCCCACTCAAACAGGCTTCGTAACCCTTCACCTGCTTCCCTCGACAACACAGGTTCGCTTTCCTTTTTAATGGCAAATTCACACCACTACCGTTCCCTCCTGTCCCCGAGCCTTTCCGGGGCTGCCCGTTGTCGGGAGGTTGACCACTCGCTCCGCCCTCGGCTACTCTGCACACACCTGAGCGAACAGCAGCAGCTCCACCTGGAGAACTTGAGAGACAGTTTATAAACACACGCGCACGCTGCTCTCCGCACTGACAAACTCCTGTCTGATTCAAAGTTCAACACCACCATTCCCGAAGTGAGTGAATCAAGGTTTGATCAAAGCGAGTCAAGCTTTCACACCCTTCCCCTCCACCAACTGCTCACAACACCCACCAAGTATTTACCTTCTTCAACGCTGACATGGTATTTTTCCCCTTCCAGCAGGCTACAATTCATGACACTGCCAACGCGGCACGCGAAATCCACAACAGCCTCACTTTTCCAATTCCTATTTGCGGCTTTTGCTCGGACTTTTTTTTATTGTTTTTTCAAAAAAATTAAAATAAGAAATTATTTTCCTCCTTATCCTGGGCGAAGCTACGAAGTCCTGCGCATGTGCCACAGAGATATCAACACAGCCGGGATAGCGCATGCGGGCTAAGGAGAGTGGACTCGAGGCGCCATCGGACGGATCTGCGCACGTGTGATGTGTGTCTCCCTACCCCACTGAAGCCGGGACGACCAATGGAAGGTCGCTGTCCCGTCAGACCCCGCCTCCCGGTCGGTGATTGACGTGTAGTTTGTGGGTTGTTGTGGGAGGATAGACCTGATGAAGGACGGTTCAACGGTTGGAGCGCGAGCGGATGATTTGAACAGTGTGGATTTCGAGCGGGATGTGATGGTGGACAGGCGGCGGGGTAAGGGACGGTCCAGAGTTAGTAGGTCGAGGCTTCGGGCCCTGGACGAAATGGGGATTCAACCTCGACCATAGTGTATGCGGATAAAGAGACAGAATTCTGTCTTTGAAGACTGACTCCTGCTGCCGAATCCCTGGTTGACCCACTTCCTTTCCCCCGCGGCAGAAGAAGAAACCCCGCGGTGGCTGACAGTAATCCACCATCAAAACAAAAAATGTTCTGGCGGGCCATGTGTGGGGCAGCGAGAGCGGTCATGGTTTTATTAGAGATAACAAGGTGTAGAGCTGGATGAACACAGCAGGCCAAGCAGCATCAGAGGAGCAGGAAGGCCGACGTTTCGGGCCTAGACCCTTCTTCAGAAATTAGACCTTTCCGTAGAGGAGTCACATTGAACTGGAAACCTTAATTCTTGTTTCTGTCTCTAAAGATGTTGCCAGTCCTGCTGATTTTTCTCCAGGAACTTCCGATTTAAACAATTCAGGGTTTTGATGTTCTGAATGTGTATTTTTCCTTTTTCTGGGGAGGAAGAGCTTGCCTTACCAGAGCTATTTTAGCCTCCCATCAAGGTGTATCTTGACTGCCTGACGTCTAATTAATTCCAGTACTGAATGTGCAAGAATTCACCACCCCACCGTATTTAAATCTTGGGAAGACATGAAGTAATTGTATTCAGTCCGTAGACCAAACTTCACTCCAAACTACTGACTTTCTATCTCGATAGGACGCAGGGAAGCACTGAGGATCATGCCCACAGAGACCCCGAGGGTAGCTGGAAAGGTGGATAACGTTGTTAACAACGTATATGAGATACCTGCCTTGATTAGCCAAGGCACAGAGTTTAAGGCAGAAAAGTTATGCTGGAACTGTGTAATACGTTGGTTAGGCCACAGCTTGAGTATTGTGTGCAGTTGGAAGGAGAGGGTGTAAAGGAGATTTACCTGAATAGGGGGTGGGGGTTCGTGGTGACGGGATATGATTGAGATGTATAAAACTGTGGAGGGTATAGACAGGCTAGATGGGGAGAAACCTTTCTTCTTGGCGGAGAGATCAATGACCATGCATCATTGATTTAAGGGGTTGGAAATTTAGAAGGAGGAAAAAAAGCTGTTGGGAATCTGGAAATCACTGCTTGCAAGGGTGTTAGAGCCAGAAACTGTCAACATTTAAGTATTTAAATGAACACGTGTATGGGGAATGGGATTGCATTGGAGGGGGTACTTGCAGGGGGTGGTGTACCCATCTATTTGCCCTTGACCTTCTAGGTGATAGATGTCAGGTATTTGGAAGATGCTGTCAGGAGCCTTGTGAAGTCATTGCCACATGCTTCGAAGTGGCAATCAAGTGGACTGGGCTGGCTGATATGTTGTCAGAATTGCATTCATCCAAATGAAGTGGAAATAATTCAATCTCTGACTTTTACCTAGTAGATAGTGAACAACCTTTGGGGAGTCAAGAGCTGAATTAATCACTACAGAATCTTAAGTTTGATCTGTCGGTGGCAATGTTTATGTGGTTAGTCCAGTTAAACAATAATGTCCAGGATGTTGATAATGGAGGATTCAACAATGATAATTACCTTGAGCACCAAGGACAAATGGTAATATTCCCCTTTAGTTTGAGATGATCATTGTCCAGTTCTTGTTGAAGTTTATAAAGAGCAAACTTTATATTAACAAGCAATAATGGGATTAGGAGTGTGCTGGTTGATTAAATATTCCAGTTAATTAAGAGGTCCACATGATCAATGTAGAATCACAATAAGTAATAGAAATGTAATGCAGTGTGGTATGCACATCACTGTTATACTGTATTTAAATAATAATGCAACTTTGCCTTAAATAAAACTTGCCAGTAGAGAGCCTTCTCACTCTCACTCTCACTCTCCACTGACTACTCGGATGTGGATGTACTGTTGTTGGACTGGGGTGGACAAGGTCAGAAGTCACACAACACCAGGTTATGGTCCAACAGGTTTATTTGAAATCACAAGCTTTCAAGTTTACCCTTCATCAGGTGAAATGAGAGAGAACCACGCAGGCACAGGATTTATAGGCCGAGAGATTAAAAGATCATACAAATGGTGAGAGTGGAGTGTAGACAGGCAGAATAATTGCTCTCTACAAGTGATCAAAAAGTGTCAATCGTGATAATACAGTAAACTTCCAGTACATCAAGGATATATTTTTGCTGTTTATTGAGAGTGCTGGTTCATAAGGTGCTGGTTATAACAAAGTTTTCTGTAAATTTCACTTATCAGCCTGAACCTGAAGTTGTTTGGATTTGCTGCACGCAGGCTTAGATTGTTTTGTTATGAAGAGCTGAGAATGGTATGGAACACTGTTCAGTTATCTGCAAATATCCCCACTGTGTCCTTATGGAGGAGAGGTCATATATTAAGTAGCTATAGATTGCTGGACCTTGGTCACTACCCTGATGAACTCTGTCAATTATATCTAGGAACTGAGATAGTTAGTCTCCAACTAGCAGATTCCTTTGTGCTAGGTAATTGAACAGACTGGATTTACCCTCCATTTTGAGGGCAGGATATATTCGGACACTTTTTCAATGCTGTTTGGTGGAAGCATGTGCTGTAATTGTACTAGAACAGTTTGGTGCAGAATGTGACTGTTTCTGGAGTATACATTCATTACTACGGCTCAAGATGTTCTCAGGGCCTATAGCCTTTGCAGCATCCATCCCATCAGCTGTTGCTTAATTTCAATGAGCTTAATTTTCTGAAGACTGGTATTTATAATTGTAGGGATGTTAAGAGAGCAAAATTGAACATCCCCTTGATGTCTTCAGACCGAAGACAGTTGCAAGTGTTTCAACCTTGTATTTTGCATTGGTATACTTGGCTTCTTCAGTGATGGGAATGTTGGTGCTGAATGAGCTAATCTTTACTTACCGAACCCTGGCTCAATAAAGAGTGTAGGACAACATACCTGCAGCAGCACCAGGTATCCCTAAAAGTCTGCTGAAATGACAACATAGGACTAGCATGCAATAGAAAGTCAAGCTATCCCATGACCCTTGGGTCAGATCTTAGTTCTGCCATCCCACGACATCGGTGTGAATGGTGGTTGACAATTAAGTAATTAACAGGATGAGGATTCTGTATGAATATCTCAGCCCTCCATTATGAGGAAGCCCAGTACAAAAGATAAGGCAAACAGAAGTGTTAATCAGAAGTGTTGAATAAATTATCCATCTTGTCGGCTTAATGAAGCACCCAGAATAACAGATGCCAGCCTTCAGGCAATTCAGTTCACTCGGGTGATACCAAAAAACAACTGAAGCAACTGGATACTGCAAGGACATTGGGACTTGACAGCATGTTCCAGCAATAGTACTCTAGATGCATTCCAGTATAATTAGTTGACTAGCATCTTATCTAAAAAAGTAGAAAATTGTCTGGGAACTTTGTTTACAAAAATCAAGACAAATCCAACTGAGCCAATTGCCATGACATCAAGGATCCATTGAAAAACTGAAACCTCCAATGGGAATCAGATGAAAATTCTGCTCATTGGATTCATCCCTAGAACAGAAGATGATGGTTGTGGTTTTTCAAGGTCAGACATCTCTACCACAGGACGTCATTGTAAAAGATCCCCAGGGTGTTGTCAAGTCCTGAAATGACAATACAGCTTATATCCATGTACGGCAAGATCAGGACACTATCCACACTTGGACTGATAAATGATGTTTGTGCTACACAAATACTCTGAACAGAATCTAACTGTTGACCCTTGATGTTGAATGGCACTTCTATTGCTCAGTCCCTCCCTAACAACATCCTGAGAGTTACCGTTAACCACGAGCTGAACTGAAGTGGATCAGCTGTTTATGTAATTAGGTCGGAGGTTTGGCATTCTGTATGGCGAGTAACTTCTCTCCTGACTTCACAAAATCGGTCCACACTCTACAAGGTACCGTTCAGAATTGTGGTGTAATACTTTCTGCCTGCCTGGTTGAGTTTAGTTCCAGAATCCTTGGAAGTTTGACATAATCCAGAACAAAGCAGCCCATTTGATTTGCACGTGATATGCCATCTATAGCCTTAACTGCACCCCCCTCCCAACCCAAATGTCACCACTGCACATAGTGGTAGCAGAGTGCACCATCTACAAAATTCCTTTTAGAGCACCTTTCAAACCCATGATCTCGATCACTTAGAAGGACTTGGGCAGCAGATGCATGTGTGAGCACCACTACCTGCAAGTTCCTCTCTGAGGCAAACGCCTATCCTGTCTTAGAACTATAACACCATTCTTTCACTGTGGCTGGCTCAATATCCTAGAATTCCTTCCTTAACAGCATGTTAGTGTATCTAACCCCCTTACCCCAACACTAGCAGTTGAAGAAGGCAGCTCACCACCACCTTCAGTTGGAAATGGTCAGTAAGAGTGTTGGCTTAGCCAATGATGCCTGCATCCAGTAAACAAATGTCAAAAACTTACCTATGACCAAGCATTCTTCATTTTCTGTAATGTTGCATTAGATGGCTTGGTGTCAAATTTTGTTCATTAATGCTCTTCTGCAGAACTTTGGAATGATATGTTAAAGATGCTATATAAATGTAAGTGGTTGTGCGAAAATTATTGGCAATAATCTGACCTTGGCTACCAAAATATTCACTGTATGGCTTTATGGCAATGTAATCAATTTAAATCAAATAGCTGCTTACACCATATTAACTTTTTACAATTTACTTTCCTGCATTTTTTTAATCAGGGTATACTCTGGGTTTTCTTTCAATTAAATTCCTTTCCAGCCTGCAACATTAATTTCCACAACAGGGCAATGAATAAATTCTCCGGCAATAGCATTAATTTGGGATCCCTCAGATAGAGACCTGGAATAGATGCACTGAAGTGGATTGTCTCTGCTAGAGCTATTTTCTGTGAAACATATATCAAATGAGAATGGATTTTGAGAAGTGGCAATTTCACACAAACTGCCGCTTTGGCCTTCCATTTTTTTTTCCAAAAGAGGAGAGATGTGCATTTCTGGGAGAAGATTCTGCTCAGTGCTCCCTCAGCAATGTGGAGCTGTAATTCCATTCTACCATAGTCCAGTAAGAGGTAAACCGTGCACTTTTCAATACCTGTCAGTTGCAGAATTTTGAAATTTAAAGGTCCTGAGAGCCAATTTGATAGCTGCTGTCAAACTATAAGTGCATTGGGCATGTGTGATGGCAAGGTGCCATGTAAGTAGGTGTCAACTGAGTAAAGGGGTAGGATGCCAGTAGGGGAACAGATGAAGTTCCAGGTAATTAGATTGTGAACTGGGATGGGGTAGGGTGACAGCTAGGTAAAATGTCAGGTGGGAAGGGGTTAGGGTACAAGGTAACAAGTAATGTAGTTTTGAGGGCAGGATGTGATGGGTGGGAGAAAGCGGTTCCAGTGGGAGAGGAAGTGGTGAGTGTCAGGTCGGGTCCACTGGAGTCATGGAACTTTTGACAGGGGGTTTAAGGAGTTTTGGGTGGAGGGCTTAAGTCAGGATCTGGGGGTTTGTTAGTGTTCTGGGGAAAGTGCAGTTGTGGGTAAATGATGTAAGTGTGCAGCCTGATAATCTAACTCCTGAGTAACTATATAATGCTATGTATTTAATAGTCAATCATTTCCTGAGATGTAATTTGTCAGTCCTATTTTCTTTTACTTTGAAATCTTAATCTTCCACGTTTCTTCCTCTTTATTCTGTTCCCTTAGCTTAACTTGTTCACTTATCAGTTTTGCATTGTTGTGATTACTGATAAGCAAAGTACAGGATTTTTTCTTGCTGTAAAGGCTAGCGATCATTAACCCAGTCAGCCTACTACGTCTGCAAAACATGTACAGTCTATTCCTTCATTAACTATCCTTTTTCCCATATGTTTATTTGACAGAATATACAATATCTCCTTCCTGAACTTCGTGTAGGTTAAGTTTACACCACAGTCTGTTACTTAACGTTGACTTCTTTGTTGTGGATTACACTACGTTGCTTCAGCAGCCATTGAATACAATGTAGCATTTTAACGTTCGAACTCTAGAGCACTAAATTTTTTTTTGAAATAGATATAATTTTGCTGTTTTTTTTTTGTTTTCTCAAAATTTACTCCATGCTTTAACCGTAATCGAGACATTTTGAATTACTGGAGGAGAGAAAAGGTTTTAGATTTTTTTGTTACCCTGAAATCTTTCAGGGATAATAGACATATTGATGAATCATATGCTATGTGCATGAAGTACGTACTCTGCGCATCTTGTTTTCAGCACCAGATATCCAATTTGTAAGGAAGCCTGACGTAGTTGTGCTTGACATATATTAGACAGTGTCACTAATCCTTTTACAAATTTGCTACTCTGATCAAAGTGCACTTGTATTCTAATGACTTGAAGCCATTTAGAGTTGCTTACTTGGCAGTTTTGAATTCAGTGAAGGCTAAGGCAACACTTGTGATCTCATTGTAAAATCTAACTGTTTTGTATAATGGCAAGCTTTAAGCAGGTAGATCTTAAACCTATTCAAATATAGGACTACCTCTAAACTCCAAACATTCAACACGTTCTCAGTTCAATCATTGTATATCGAAGATGATGAAATAGATCTTTTGGACAGCTTGTAAACTTTGGGTTCAGGTAGCACTGGAGTGATGGTATGCCTTTTTAAGATTTTTAGCAATACCGCTTAGCTATCAGCTAGTTTTGACACCCAGGTGTTAAATAATCTGAATGCTTTTTGATTTTCTGCTAAGCTATTAAATTATTGATTTTGGTTCTGAATAAATATATATATTTTGCAGTGTATTTAATGATTGTAGTTTCTTTTCCCCTGCAGTATTCAAACAAAAGGTGTTAAAGAAACTATATTCTGCACCACCTCCTGAAAGGAAAATACAGGAAGCCCTGACAAAAGCTTTTAAGACACAACAAGAGCAGGAGAAGGAGGAGGAAAGAAGCAAAAGTGCTAGTGACTCAAAAGGTAATTAGGTGTAAAATATTTCATCAAAACAAATGAACTATAGTAGACCCCTTTGTATACAGTACCATTAATGTGTTTCGTTATTTTGCAACCTGAGGTTCACTTGACAGCACTGCTGAGACACCACAATCCTTTCTATGCAAGCTGTACTGTTGTGGCCCAGCAGTTTTGCAATTTAATTGTTAAGATTCCACCAAGTGTAACAGCTCTATCTTGATGGAACTGCTGCTTAAAATTTAAAACAGCAGGATTTTAAAAAATGGATAAATAGCTATATGCCAACTTCAGAATCAAGACAAGGATTCAATGTATATTGGTGGACCCACTGTTTAGACTTGTATACTTAGTTTATTTCTATATATTAGATAACGTTTCAAAGTGTTATAGCACAGTGGTGATCTGTGTTATGAAAACAGCTTGATTTTTGAATGATTTGAGCTACTAAATTAATTGTATTTGCAGGAGGTATATTCAGAGTCCATTCACTCAAGTCTTAAAATTGCATTTGGAAAGTGGGTAAGGTTTCTAGATAAAATATTCCAAGAATTGGTAGAGACCAGGCTGCCAGTAATGGGGAGTAAAAACAGTTCGAGTTGCCATCTGTTAAGAGGAGAAAAGTGAAGGAAGTGCAAGAGATTCCTGAGGGTGTTATCTTTACATGTTAGTACTGTACTAAATACTTGTTACAAAGACAATAATTTGTAAGTAGCTACAAATAGGCCATTTTACTGTTTAAAACAGTTGCTCAGTGATAGAAATTCAGAAACACTGCTCTTAAAAGACTGAATATTGAACAAAATTGATGACTACTTCTTGACTAATCTTGAATAGGAGTTTGGTTAACTCGGTTGTCTGGACAGCTGGTTTGAGATGCCAACAGCGTGAGTTAACTTTCTGTACCAGCTGAGGTCACCATGAAGTCCCTCAACTCTTCTCCCCCCCCCCCCCACCTTGAGTATAGTGACCCTCAGGTTAACTTTATCACCGACCCTGACTCTAATCAGGGAGCAGTTGGTGGTCTCCTAGGATTATGGCGACTTCCACTTAATCATGACTCTGAGCACCATATGTTACTTTCCAACACTCTGAATATAGACAAATGGGTGTATGGGTTTTTGGAGAGGGAAGATGATCAATCAGAAATCATAGGCATAACCAGAGCCAACAGTGTATAGAAGATTAGAATCCAGATAAAATAGTCCCAGCAAGGTATTTAGTTAGTGTTGGGAATGACTAAATAAATCATTCGACACAGAGTCCATTTCAAGCATCGAAGAGTTTATTGAAATTACGCATTTCGGAAGAAACCTTTAGGGGTCAGAAGCTTCTTCAGTGAGCAAAAGAAAGTCATAAACTTGTATACATTTGTTTTCAGCCTGCTTTTGGCAATTACAGACCAATCTTATTATTAATTAATTACATACACAGACAATCAAATTAATCATGTGACTGTATGATCAGTGATGGACAGCCTTATAGATAGCCTTTGGTCTTTCATGATATTATGATGTTTACCAGACACCTTATCTCTATCCTTGGGGCTTTCACAATGCATCCTTATTGAGGGTATTTTTAAGGTTATATGTATGTGTGTGTGTGTATATAATATATATTCAAAATCTGTAACATTGATTACCTGGACAAAAGTAAATCTATGATAGAACACAGATGGTAAATCAGTTAGATATGGAATTGTTCTATGAGCATACTCTAGGGAATCCATATCGAACTGTCTCCCTATAAACAACCACAGATGTGTGTTTGCCATAGGACCCTTTATGTGCTATCTTAATCTTGTTACCTTGGGTATATTCTGTCTACAAAGCTACAATTGTCCTAACTTATGGTTTCTTTTAATACTACAATAAACAAGCAATTCTAAGTTAACTGAAAACCAGTTTCATCCATTTGGTGTTGCTTTCAGCTATGAGCAGCCCCAACAGTTAGCATAATAGTAGAACAATAATCTAGTGAAGCCTAATACCAAATTCACATTCTAGCTAGTGCGGGACAAACCAGATTAGGAAGGTAAATGTGCGGCTTAAAACAAAATGAGTGAATAGAAGGCTTTAAATTTCTGGCACACTGTAATAAATGTGTCTGAACAGAGTTGGGACCAGTCTCCAAAAAAAAAAAACTGGTGTTGTGCAGGAGGTATGCAGTTAATGCAACAGCTTATGTTGAATATAGGAAGGAAACGCTGGTAAGCAATATGGGTAGCTTGAAAGTGAAAGTATGCCTTTAGGTACATTGATAGCAAGGGGAGAGAGTATTTCAAGGACAGTAAATAGAATAAGAATGTAAAAAGAATAAATTGGAAGTGTAAATATAGAAGAAAAATTAAACGCAAAATGAGTAATAAAGAAAAAAATCAGAACAAATCTTTTATTTAAATAGAATTTACCAACTGATATGAAAAAGTAGTTTTGCAGAATTGTTTACAAAGTATTCCCAGTTGCAAAAGTTTCGAAAAGAACAGAGTGAGAAGATACATAATAGTTCTTTGTGTTTGGTAGCAAAAAAGAGTGGATCTAGAGTACAGAGATTTAAGTAAACAATCAGTTCAAATTAAATCCTCTTCGATTGATCGGAATTCATTACTGTGGAGGTCAAACCATTGAGTGTATTTAGAACCGATAGATAGGTTCTTGATCATTAAGAGGATCAAGGATTATGGAGAAAATGGGGTTGAAAAAAATATCAGCCATGATGAAATGATGGAGCAGACTTGTTATGCTGAATGGCTTAATTCTGCTCATACACCTTATGGAAAGGATAAGAATCCGTTTGAAAGAAAACTGGTTGAATTTTAAAAAAAAAGTGTTTAAGTGACATTCACATTTTCCTCCCTCCTCACTTTCACTTGTTTGAAACCTAACTCTTCCCAGTTCTAATAAAAGGTTAAGTATTAATGGCTGAAGTATTAACTGCTTCTCAACTCAGAGGTGCCTGACTTTAAAGCATTTTCTGTGTTCATTTTGGATTTCCAACATGTTTGCTATTTTGTTTATGCTGACTGACTTCATTTAGCATGTTAAAAGGAAATATTAACTGAGAGTTATATTGCAGCTCCTGTAAATTCATAGTTATTTAAGCAAAATGTAATTTAAGGTACTAATGTAAAGAAATACACTACAAAAGGGTATTGCAATCTTTCCCATAGACGATGCACAAATTATTCCCGTAAGCAGGAAAGTGTATACAGTGAATCTGCCGCCTTCTGGGAATGAAGTGTGCTCAACTAGATTAAATGAACATCATGAATCTCAAGATTCAAGTGAAGAACCAGAAGGTAGGAATAGCTTCAGTTTCAAAAAGAGTGCTGGAGAAACACAGCCGGGCTGGCAGCATCTGTTGAGAAAAACAGTTAATGTTTCAAGTCCAGAGACCCTTTGTTAGAATAGCCTTACCCTGCGAAGTCTGTTTTCTCCTAATCAATGCTGCTAATTTTTATAACAGATTTCTGACATCTGCAGTTCTTTGTTTCTATAATAGGATTTTCACAACAATTTTTAAAAACAAGCTACAATTTTTTTTTAAACTATTCATGGCATATCGACATCATGACCAAGCCAGTATTTATTGCCCATTCCTAATTGCCTGGGGGGCAGTTAAGAGTCAACCGCATTGCTATTCTGGAATCACTTCTAGGTCAGACTGGGTAAGGCTGACAGATTTCCGTCCCTAAAAAAATTAGTGAACCAGATGAGTTTTTTCCTGACAGCTGATAATGATTTCATGGTCATCATTAGACTCTTAATCCCAGATTTTTATTGAATTCAAATTTTACCACTTGTTGTAGCAGGATTTGAACCTGGGTCTCTAGAACATTATTTGAGTCTCTGGTTGAATAGTCTAGTGATAATATCACTAGGTCATTGCCTCACCTGCAAATTGTGATGTCAGATGTCTACAGTTCACTCAACACAAATTTATATCGCAGTGATGTGCTGGGTAAACAAATATTGACATTTTTGATTTTATCCTCCAAAAAGAGCAGCCCTTTTGTCTTGCCCCTTCTAGTTGTTTCAGTGAGTTGGGTTCCTGCACTCGAGCACTGTTTTGAGCAATCATTTCCAGCTGTTATGCATCTCTGTAGTAAATGCTTATAATTAAAGTCATAGAGATATACAGCTCAGAAACAGATCCTTTGGTCCAACTTGTCCTTGCCAACCAGATGTCCTAAATAAATCTAGCCCCATTTGCCTGCATTTGGCCCATATCTCTCTCAATGTTTCCATTCATATACCCATCCAGATGCCTTTTAAATATTGTAATAGTACCAGCCTCCACCACTTCCTCTGGTAGCTCATTCCATACACGCATCACCCTCTGCGTGAAAAAGTTGCCTCTTAGGTCCCTAATAAATCTCTCCCCTCTCACCTTAAACCTATGCCCTCTAGTTTTAGACTCCCCCACCCCAGGGAAAAGACCTTGTCTATTCACCCTATCCATGCCTCTATAATGTCACTCCTGAATCTCTGAAGCTTCTGGGAAAATAGCCCCAGTCTATTCAGGCTCTTCCTATACTCAAACCCCCCAACCCTGGCAACATCCTTGTAAATCTTTTTGAATATTTTCAAGTTTCGCAACATTTTTCCTATAGCAGGGGAACCGGAATTGCAATTGTGGCCTAACCAATGTCCTGTACAGCTGCAACATGACCTCCCAACTCCTACACTCGATGCACTGACCAATAAAGGCAAGGATACCAAATGCTGCCTTCATTAACCTATCTACCTATTACTCCACTTTCAATGAACAGTGAAACTGCTCTCCAAGGTCTCTTTGTTCAGCAACACTCCTCAGGTCCTTACCATTAAGTGTATAAGTCCTGCCTTGATTTGCCTTTACAAAATACAGCACCTCACATTTATATAAATTTAAACTCCATCTGCTGCTCCTCGACCCATTTCGCCCATCTAGTCAAGATCCTGTTGTACTCAGAGATAACCTTCTTCGCTGTCCACTACACCTCCAATTTTGGTGTCATCTGCAAACTTAGTAACCATACCTCCTATATTCACATCCAAATCATTTGTATAAGTGATGATAAACAGTGGACCCAGCACTGGTCCTAATGGCACACCGCTGATCACAGGCCTCCGATCTGAAAAGCAAATCTCCACCACCTCCTTCTGTCATCTACCTTCGAGCCAGTTTTATATCCAAGCAGCTAGTTTTCCCTCTATTTCATGTGATCTAACTTTGCTAACCAGTCTACCATGAGGAACCTTGTTGAATGCCTTACTCAAGTCCATATAGATCACGTCCACCACTCTGCCGTCATCAATCTTTGTTACTTCTTCAAAAACTCAATCAAGTTTCTGACACGATTTCCCACGCACAAAGCCATATTGACTATCCCTAATCACCCTAATCAGCCCTTGCCTTTGCAAATACATGTAAATCCTGTCCCTTGGGATTCTCTCCAACAACTTGTCCACCACCGATGTCAGGCTCACCGGTCTGTAGTTCCCTGGCTTCTGCTTACCACCTTTTTTAAATAGTGGCACCATGTTAGGTAACCTCCAGTCTTCCAGCAACTCGCCTATGGCGATACAAATATCTCAGCAAGGGGCCCAGCAATCACTTCCCTAGCTTCACATAGAGTTCTAGGATACATCTGATCAGATCCCAGGGCTTTATCCACCTTTATCCATTTTAAGATGTCCAGTACCATGTCCTCTGTAATATGGACACTTTTCAAGAGGTCACCATTTATTCCCGCACATTCTCTATCTTCCATATCCTTCTCCACAATAAACACTGATGCAAAATACTCATTTAGTATCACCCCCATTGCCTGCAGTTCCAACACATAGGTGGCCTTACTGATCTTTAAGGTTCCCTATTCTCTCCCTAGTTACTCTTTTGTCGCTAATGTATTTGTAGAATCCCTTTGGATTCTCCTTAATCCTGTTTGCCAAAACTATCCCATGTCACCTTTTTGCCCTCCTGATTTCCCTCTGAAGTGTACTCCTACTGCCTTTTTGGCCCCGACCGAATCCGGGTACCTCACCCAGACTAGGATTCCTCCCACGCGGCAGGACGTCTCTGTTTCATTCCCTTCCAAAAATGGACCTCTTCCCATTGTCAGATCAAGGCACGCACACTGCCCGAGACCGGGACACCGTTCAATTCACTTGATCCCTGCTGTCTGTACTTGACATGTGCTTCCTTCTTATTCTTAACCAAGACCTCAATTTCTCTAGTCATCCAGCATTCCCTACACCTACCAGCCTTGCCGTTCACCCTAACAGGAACATACTATCTCTGGACTCTCGATGTCTCATTTTTGAAGGCTTCCCATTTTCCAGCCATCCCTTTACCTGTGAACATCTGCCCCCAATTAACTTTTGAAAGTTCTTGCCTAATACTGTCTAAATTGGCCCTCCTCCAATTTAGAACTTTTAGATCTGGTCTATCCTTTTGCATCACTATTTTAAAACTAATAGAATTATGGTCACTGACACCTCAGTCACCTGCCCTGCCTTATTTTCCAAGATTAGTTCAAGTTTTCCACCTTCTGTAGTACGTACAACCATATACTGAATCAGAAAATTTTATGGAACACACTTAACAAATTCCTCTCCATCCAAGCCCTTAACACTATGGAAGTCCCAATGTATGTCTGGAAAGTTAAAATCCCCTACCGTAACTACCCTATCGTTCTTACAGGTATTATCCTAAGTTGGGGATAGTAAGAACTGCCAATGCTGAAGTCAGAGATAATACACCATGGAGCTGGAGGAACACAGCAGGCCAGGTAGCATCAGAGGAGCAGGAAAGTTGATGTTTTTTTCTGAAGAAGGGTCCCGACCTGAAACGTCAATTTTCCTGCTCCTCTGATGCTGCCTGGCCAGCTATTATCCTAAGTTGGTTCTTTGCAAAGCTTAAGCTTGTTCAAGTATCCAGGTATCTTGGAATATCTATTCAAAAACAAAGTTGCTGGAAAAGCTCAGCAAGCCTGGCAGCATCTGTGAAGGAAAAAA